TCCAAGCAGTGGATGTACTCCAGAGACTTGATTTGAGCCTGCAGTTAATTCCATCACAGCTACAAGCCTGAACCAAGAACTTTGCCATTAATATACGTAATTGATTCCTTTAACCAGTTTTAGCTCTAATCTGTTGTGACAGTACCTCCCATAAGGCTTTATGGGAATATGACATAACTGGAATATGTTTTGTGCTGCCTGTGCCATGTAACATATCTCCGTAAGGGTTATGGTCTACTATATCTATTCATCCTATTTGTACACATATATCATTTTGTACTTGAGAGTAAGAATATTGGTTGTATACTTGGTTGATTTCTAAGTAAGCTTTGTGAAACATTCGGTCAGCTTCTTTAGGAAGGAATTTGCAAGGTTAAGTACCCGATCAGGAAGCACTTGGGGAACAATGCATCTTGGAATGCTCCAATCCACATAAGAAGTCTTCCTGGAGACATGCAAGATACCATGTGGACAATGGCTTCTGCCTGCAAAGACTGTGAGTCATGCATGGACATGTGACTTGCTCAGGTGACTCCAGAACTCCATCTTGGAGATGGACTTTGCATAGGAGTAAGGAGGGGGGTCTCCACCCACAAGAGAAAGTCTATTTAAACCCGTGGGAGACCCCTCTGTTTTGTCTTCAGCTGGCTAAAGAGGGAGCCTCTCCACCCCCCAGGATACTTGGAAGAAACTGGAACAAAGGGGTGTGAGTGATTGCTGGACCCAGGCTAAAAAGAGATTAGTCTGTAAAAGGAAGCATTCTGGAACTGATGAGGATCTTATCTGTATTCAGTTTGATTAGACATAGATTTGCACATTTTATTTTATTTTGCTTGGTGACTTGCTTTCTTCTGTCTGGTACTACTTGGAATCACTTAAATCCTACTTTTTGTATTTAATAAAATCACTTTTTATCTATTAATTAACTTAGAGTATGTATTAATACCTGGGGGAGCAAACAACTGTGCATTTCTCTCTATCAGTGTTATAGAGGGCGAAAAATTAAAGTTTACCCTGCATAAGCTTTATACGGGGTAAAATGGATTTATTTGGGTTTAGACCCCATTGGGAGTTGGGCATCTGAGTGCTAAAGACAAGCACACTTCTGTGAACTGTTTTCAGGTAAACCTGCAGCTTTGGGGCAAGTAAAATTCAGACCCTGGGTCTGTGTTGGAGCAGACAGGAGTGTCTGGCTCAGCAAGACAGGGTGCTGGAGTCCTGAGCTGGCAGGGAAAACAGGAGCAGAGGTAGTCTTGGCACATCAGTTTACAAGGGGGTTTCTGTGATCCAACCTGTCACATCTGTCTTTCTTTCTTTTTATGAATAAACCTTTAGATTTTAGATGCTAAAGGATTGGCAACAGCGTGATTTGTGAGTAAGATCTGACTGGTATATTGACCTGGGTCTGGGGCTTGGTCCTTTGGGATTGTGAGAAACTTTTTGTCTTTTACTGGGGTATTGGTTTTCATAACCATTCATCCCCATAGGGAGTGGTGGTAGTGGCGATACAAGGGAACTGGAGTATCCAACAAAATTGCTTGTATGACTTCTGGTTAGCCAGTGAGGTAAAACTGAAGTCCTCTCTGTTTAGCTGGTTTGGTGCCTTAATAGTAAAGGAACTCCAGCCTTGGGCTGTAACTGCCCTGCTCTATGCAATTTGTCCTGAACTGATACTTTCAGTAGTGTCCCACCAAAGGCAGCATCATTACAGAGACTTGTGGAATTTCCCTTCCCCACCTGCACCCCGTGTTTTTAATGCAAGACCGAGGGCTGCCAAGGAGAAATATGGTCCTATATTATTTATTATTAATTATTATTATTATATTTTATTTAGGCAAAATCACAGCTGTGACAGCATCATTGTTACCACTTGGCTGCCCTCGAGGTAGCCATGTGACTAATTTGAATCATATGAACAGTAATGACAAGCCCAGTCCAGTTGGGTAGGATCATTATGCATCCCCTGTGATTTGGCCTCCCACAGTTTGCCATTGGCTGTGACAAGGTTAAAGCTGGTGCACACGAAGCCAAGCAGCTGAGGTTCCCTGATGGCCAAGTGGCCCCCAAGGGAATGTGCAGACATGCTTCATAAAGACACATGCCTCCCTATTAGAACTGATACTAGCTGCTGCTCATGTAACCTATCCGATGAGTCCTTGTCCTTTAGCGCGAAGGCCTCTGATGTCAGCCGCTCCACGCTGAGCAGGAAATGGGTACGTTGGCAGGTTTCAGTATCTTTAAAATGTGACATGAATTGAAAAGGCTTGAAGCTGTTTCCATTTGCAGATGTTCTGTGCAGCGGCAGAGGGCTCTCAGCTGGGCTGTCATGGTGACTCAGGGATGGGGGGTCCCATTTCTAGAGGTGCCATGCGCTCTGGGCCTGATACTGCCACAGGCTGAGCAAGAAGAAACACGACAGAATATCAGTGACTTGTTCCCAAATAGCCTCCGGTTTATTTTCTCCTGGAAATTTAATCAGCAAATGCATTTTCAAATGGTTTATTCCCTGGCTTGATTGTGAATGCAGGAATTCAGAGCTGTGTTGCTTTGTGTTAACTGGTCCAATAGGGAACATTTCTATTTCCTGACTGGCCGAGGGCTCCAGCACTTCTGCCCTGTAGACCCTGCTCAGGGTTATAGGGCTACCTGCATCTCATAGGTTTACTTCCCATAGGGTGGAATCCCCTGATTTTCCAACCCTCAGACTGGGCACTGGGCTACAGCACACTGCAGGTCAACTGTTTTTGCTAAGTGGATTCAGCACCTGTGGTTCATATGTGTGCATTAAAGTACAGATGTGTAAATATTATACCAAAACTTTTCATTGTAATACAGTATTACAAAGAAAACTTTCATGACATGAATGTATGTCGAAAGCCAGCAGTAGAGTCGCTGGAATCTCTACAGGAAGGAGCAGTGGTAACTTTACTGCTTAACAGTTTTGGCTTTAGAAAATATTTCAGAAGTACTCCACACATATTTCAGAAGTACTCCCACTGTATGCAATGGGAATACTTGTGGCACCTTAGAGACCAACAAATTTATTAGAGCATAAGCTTTCGTGGACTACAGCCCGCATCCTCGGGTGCGGGCTGTAGTCCA